ACTATGTTAAACACAAGAAAAAAGATCCTAAACAATACCTTCATGAAATCACCTTTACTATCACAAGGACAATAATATTACTCAGCTATTAAATTAGAAATCTGTTTCTAGAATACAAAAATTATGTTACCTTCTACTTCTCTCCTAGCTACCCCAGGACTGGGAGGAGCTCCAAGACCTTTTCAGAGAAAGAAGAGAAGCTGTATATTGCATAAGAAAAGCAGTAGATTGAGAAAGTAAAACCAGAAAGAACACTGCCACAAGACAGCTTTACATATTTAAAAATGGCCTAGCTAGATTGTAGTTACTTGTAGGAGATAACAGTTTGCAGCAGCATGGGAAAGCCAGACTGATACAAATTAGAGATCAGCAAGTATGACCATGTTTAGAAACATGCTATTATTTCAGTTTTATATACAGTTAAAAGATAATTTGATTTCTTCAGTATTCACTCTCCACAAACTTTTGTAAATTCAGAATGATGATAAAATTCAGTCTTGAAACTTTTCTAAAGCAGAGCACATATCTATACTCCAACACTTGAAAATAAACAGGTACATCAGTTATACCCTGTAACATGAAGTCTGCTTCCTGTAATTCAGGAGAATACTATGTAGTGTGTTTCTGCCAAGACTACATATGAATAAGCAAGTTTATGGAATAAGTTTCACATTTTATATAATGTATTGTATCCTACAGAACTGTATCATTAAGTTATCTCCAAGCAGCAGTCTGTACTTGGGAAAGCTGTATCAACTGGTGTGCAGTAGATGTTACAGTTCAGATTGAGAGAAAGAAGATTTTCAATTATGCATAACCATGCTGGATTATTTTATTTCTGCAATATGATCAAGCATATACTGGGTGCACAAAATTGTACGGTAAAATCACGGCAAGACATAGATAACACTAGACAGTATGCAAGGAGAAATCCTTCACGCATGAGCAGAGGAGTAACAGTATTATCTGGCAACTCTGGAGTGGCTCAAATATAAAGGAGGAAAGGGAGCCAGTGTTCAAGAAGCCTACCATAAAAGCAACTTTTGCCTTAGCGATGACACAGCCTCACGCTTTCTCATCATGTGCGTATGTGTGGTATCTGCTCAGGAGCTATCTAAGATCTGGAAAGAGAACTTATTCATCAAGGCTGCAGATGAGGCTGGTATGTGATTATCTCCAGAGACGTCAAATCTCTGGTTTTGCTGAACATCTGGTTTAAAGATGTTAAATACTAGCATATGTTCTATATTCGGGCCGAGTTCCAGGCTCTGCCAATTAGCCTTAGATTTCCATTGCAAAAGTTTCTGACAGTGAACTTCTCTGCTAGAGAAACAACACTAAGAAGGGATGAACACAGAGTGTTTCTAAGGAGGGGGGGCACAGGAGGAGAGCACTGCCTGAGAACATTTCATTGCTTTCAGGTACTAGCTCTGCCCTTCTCCCATGAGACCCAGAGGAACCCTGGGGGAGAAAAGAAAGCAGTAACACATGGGCTATGAGAAGCCTACCTGCTAACTGCAGGAAAATAAAGGGAGGTGGAGAGCAACCCAGCAGAGTACAGGATACACTCCTCGGAACCCTCTGTGGTTACAGAGGTGTAAAGCTAACTGCTCATCTCAGAGTATTAATGGAAATGGACACAATAAAACTCTCTCCAAGAGCAGGCAACTAGGCTCATTTCACAGATCTTCTGCACTTTCCCCTCCCAAGGCTCAACTCAGCCCATGTTTTGAATAGGTATTTTCAGGATGCTATTGTTAAGCAAATCTTGGTTTATGCAAGATGATTAGTAAGTCAACTCTTTTCAGGAGAAGGAAGGTAGAGTGACCATAGCACATAGACATGTTCTTATGCTGGTGCACCATACAGAGGAAGACTTCTGTGAATGAGGATTTTGAAAAGGTTTTGTAAATTTAAAAATATTCATTATATGGGAGACAAATGGCATAAAGATCAAATACCCAAAATTTCACTTAGTAATAACGCTCTCCAGCAGTGATAAAGCAAAATTATGATGCTGTGATAATGCTATCACAATTGGCATTATATTAAGATTTTAATCTAAGGACAGTGAAAAATGTACATTTGAGCCCAAAACACACTTTTGGATATAATTTTAAACTGTTACTGTAGTCTGTATATAGCTTGAAATCTCTATGGAAGTTTGAAACAATATTTTGCAAGTAAAGATACCACATGCTTGTTTTAAATAATATTTTAAGGAAAGGGGTTGGATTTATACAGAAACCACCCATAACTTATGCCCTGACATCTTTTAGACAGAACTGCATGTTTTGCAAAGATTACATTTACACATTAGCTTAAGGGAAAATAAAGCAACCTGAACGTCTCATGACTGCCATATCCTAATACACACAAACAATCTGAACTCTGCTCTACAAAATGAAACAAACAAACAAAAAGAAGCAGCTACAGGGGAAAAATAAAGATGTTGAATCATTCTTGTAAGGCTAAGTTTGAAGTGTGACTATAAATATCAGTGTACACTAGAAAGTACTTGCCGCTTGGGTGCATGTGTTTTCATAGCTGAACATACTCGCACTGCTTTTAATGTCAACTTTATTACTGTATTTTCTAGGCTTGTTTTCTTTATTTGGAGAATAATCAAAATGAAAATGTAATGCATTTTACCCAAATTATTGCATATACTGAAAATACTGTGCATTCTCTCAATCTTAATGCCATTTTAACAGCTTAAATCAGTGATAAAATACAACTATAAGCCTTTCCTGCATTCATCAGGAAAGTCTAATATATTTAAAGGGGAAAAAAACCCAAACCAAAGATTATTTTTTAACTTCAAGTAATTGACAATTAGCAGCCTTTGTAATTTTTAATGTTCCCTAGGAATTTACTCTGTAATGCATTAAAAAAAAAATATTGGGTAAACAGACTGCAACATTTTAATTTTTAACTATAAACAAATGAAAGCTTATAAAACCCTCAGTGGAAATCTTTTGCATTAGTAGGCAACAAGTCTACACTTTGCAAACCCCTGCAATGAGCATGCAGCCCTGTTTCCTTGAATTCTGAGTTATTCCTGATATAAAATATGACCAAACTTTAATAAAACCTTAGATGTCCAAATCCTACTCCCATCTTCAAAGCATATTGAGCCATTAGAAGAAATGCTATGGGCACTGAAGAGAGTGAAACACTCAGAAAAAAAAGGTTAAAACACATAGGAAAAAAAAAAGTAACATTTAAACTGCACATTTTAAAGACATGATCAGTGTCACTTTGCGTGTGCTACGGAAGACTAAAAACTAAGTTTAATACACTTTTACAGTACACAGGGATATTTTCACAGTGTTTTAGGAGCCTTCGTTCTAGGTAAGGGAAACAGATGCCATTTCCCCAAGCACAGTAGCACACTATGACATTTATACTGCTTCCAGTCCTGTGCTAGCTTACTCAGAGCTGAGCTCAGGTACCACTGAAAAGCAAAGCATTATGCCTTATAAATATACGCCACGAGTGGAAAATGAAGAGGACAGAAAAAGTGGGATGAACTTTAGGTCAGAATAATAAATGAAAAAATATACTACAATCTCTTTTAAAAGATTGCATAAAAAGCAAGTTTTATGCAAGCTACAAATCTTTATGGAAAGCTATGTTGGGAAAGAGGGTAAAAAAAGTTAGTCTTTGCACAATTGAGACAAACTAGGCAAACAGGATTGTATCAGTGCACACAAAACTATATAGGACCGAAGCAGTACAATGAATTAAATGCCACACATGTTGTGTTATGTATAAACTGTCTATTTTCTAAAACTTAAGCATTTTAACTAATTCAAAATATTATGACTTTGGCATAATAACCTCATCCCCTCACCTGTTTCTAAGAGCCATGCACATATCCGCCTGACATCAGAATAAATTAGCTGATATTTATATGCTACGTAAAATAGTTTACTTGTTTTCTGAGATTGCTCAAAACTTTTGAATTATTTTCTCAAAAACCCCTCTTTCCTACTGAGTGGCAACATCTGAAAAGCCATTAAGAAAGTATTTCAAAGGCACTAACTATTCTCACTCTATCCCATGCTTTAATGAGCTGATTTAAGTCCAAGCATGACAGCTCAGCTATGAAGCATGTGACAAAGAAGGACAAAGATAAGTTTCAAGAAGCAGCACTTTTGAGAACACCTGAGTCATTATTACATGCAAAACCAGATCAAGCTGGAAAAAAACAAAACTAGCCTGAAGGGTTGGTGAGGCCATCAGGATTATCAAAAGGGAAGGAATTCAGGAAGAATTATTTCAGGATTTTGTTATTTTGTAAAGACCTTTAGCTCTCGAGTGCCTTCAAAGTAACTGAATAAACTTTTTTGTGAAGTTTGTGTTTCTGAATTACCCGCTAGCTCGAAGAACTATGGAGGATGTTTCATGTCTCTATGAAGGGCTTAGGAGCACATTTCAGACTTGGAAACAGAAAATAAACTACCCACATACTAGTGTTCAGCTTAGAGACAAATATAGCTCAGTGATTTGAAGTGCTCTGTTAATTGGTCATCATCTGGGGGAAACTGGGACAGACCAGCAGTAGTTTCAACTTGAACAACTAATTAATGGATAATCACTGCAAGTAGCTACAATTACAATCCATTTTACAATGCTCCTTGTCATGGACTGTGAGGAAAATAGCTAGCCTTTTCACAACTAAAGACAAGTTTCCGCTTTCACAAAAAAGTTAGCTGGGTATACTTTGACCAGGACAAAGTAATAAAAACCTGGAACAATTTTATTCCATCTGACTATAATGTACCAACTTCTGGATAAATATTTTTTCTTGGAAAAGTCAAACCCTGAGATCTTTCAGAATTACTGATTTTTATACCTTTGGACATCATCATATCAAGTATTGTCACAACAGACCACCACAGTAGTTTTGCTAACTAGTCACACTGAAAACAATTAAAATCATTACCTCCAAATTCTTTTCTAGCAGGTGCAGGACTCCTACCGCCTTACAGTATTTAAGAAATGAATGCAGCAATAATGAAAAATATCAGTACAGTAAGAGGGAAGAAAAAGAATGAGAAATTTAAAAATGACAAGGGTCAGTTTGTTAGCAACTATGTCGTCCACATGCTTCTGAACATCCAGTTTCTTAGCGCTCAATTGTTTACATTTTCAGATGATCCAGATGAACTCTACATTAAAAACTTGGACATGATAAAATGCATACATACTGATGTCAAAATGAAAGGAAATCAATGAATGCACATGATTAATTATCTTTTATTTTAAGAATGAAGATGCTATAAAAACTAAAATGTTGAATAAACACTGCTGTAAGGAAGTCCACATTTTTAAACTGTGAAAATAAGTTTATAAAGATTTTAAAACTTATTCACTAGGCAAAGACAATATTTAAACGGTACTGAAAAATGCTGTTATTTCCTATGCTGTTACTACTATTACATATATCAACTAAACATTTTACTGAAAAACTGGTATGTTTCATTGAGCCCCAAACCAACAATATAATGTGTAGTTTGGGCATGGAACTTTAAAATTCATCTCAGACTTGAAACAAAATATTTCTGACCTCATGATATACATCACCGCATTACCTGATGGTGGAGGTGGCCTCTGTGGTGGAGCAGGGCGTGCAGGAGGAGCAACAGGGCGAGGTGGTGGAGGACGCTTAGGCTCTAAGCTCTGAGAAGACTCTTTCTGCTGGGTACCAAGTTGAAATTCAGCTGGAGAACATGACAGAAAACAATGCAAAAATTAATCACTTGTACATTCTAATCACGTAAAGCTTTTGTAGTCACAAGTTATTTTCACAGAGAGGACAGTCAGTTCCCAGCTCTGGAAACAATGACAAAGAACTTTCTGAGAGAGGGAAAACAAGCAGAATAAACCAATGGTGAAAACAAGCAGATTTCCTAAACCAAGATTTTTATCTCATATGCTTTAATCAGAATATGCTTTTCATAGAATCCTAAACATTCTTAAAAATTGCAGACTTCCAAATTTTTATGCTAATCTGTGAACTGAGTGCTCTGGAAAAAAACATTACAAGGGAAATTCTGGAGGCACTTTAGCAGTCTTTGTACAGTTACTCCAAATTGCACTGAAACAAACTGTCCTAGAAGCCATTCCAAATACTGTAATTCTAAATGTCCACTTCGTCACTAAAGTTGTGTTTAAACAGAAACTTTCACATTATACACCCAATTTACAAATGTGCTGATTACAATTTACATATCACAGTTGATAGGAGCATTAGTTGAAGTGGGCTGTATTTGAAGAGTATGACTAAAGTGAACTAGGGTTACACTGACATTGCAACAGAATTATTGAATAAAGGTTTTGAACTAATTAACTTAGAAAGCCTATTAATCACATAATTTTTTGAGATGTCTTGTTCATGTTGAAATGTTAAAGAATTAGTGTAAGTTAGGTAGTTTGTAGCGGCACAGATCAGTGGACAGTGTACTAAATACAACTCAGGAAACAAAGCTCTTCCACTGTCCATTAGGAAAACTGAGACACAAAGAATGAGGTGATTTGCCTAAGGCCAGGTATGCGCAAAATGCTAGGTAACAACAAGAATAGCCTTTTACATTAATCTAAAGCAAAAATAATCTGTAAGGTACTATTCTATCACTGGGCCATACAGCTGCTAGATGGTATAGTAGTAACAGAGGCAGCTGAACAATGTAATACGCACTGTGTGTGGAAACAGGTGGTCCAGGAGTTTTTGTTGGTGCTCGGCTCGGTCTCACCGGGAGCGTAGGTGCCTCTGGCAGCGTAGGGGATTGACAGGGACTGGAACGTGGTGAAGAGCTTGGAGAGGTTCCAAGACCAGAGCTTGAAGTTGGCTGTAGATGCTGAGGAAGGATTTCTTCTACTTCAGCACTGTAGTCATCAATGTCTCCTAAGCAACAAACCCCATCCCAAAAAAGAAAAAGCATGTAAAATAAAGGGAACAATAATTGCTTTTTTTAAAAAGTGGGGAAATTAGAAACTGATTCTGGGTATGGGATTTTCTGCAAAAAGCCCTCAAGTGCTAAGGAATTATCTCAACAACCAAAGTACGATCCTTGCATCATAAAATTATACATGAAGAGCGCACATGTATTCAAAATACTCCAAATGCATAATATATATTATAGATACATATGATAGGTAATTATAATTGTGTGGCAATGGTAATGTTGCTTAATCTAAGAAACAATTAGCTTTACAAAGAAGATCTTTGCAAAAAATTATTTCCCTGGTTTGCAATAGATTGCAAGCTTCCTTAATTCTTTGGCAGGCTGGGTAGGGGATTTCAAAATATCTGCTACCTGTAATACCTCCTGTTTTAGCAGGTGGAATGATGTTTTGAAAAAAGTTCAACATGGACATGCCTTTGAAAAGTAACCTGTCAATTTAGAAAAATTTTTATGTTAATACTCAAAATGCCTAAAATAGACAATTATCCCATCACACTCCAATAAGACCACAGTAATTCTTTCTTCCATAACTTCTAGGCTTCTCTCTCTTCAAATACATGAATGAAACACACTGTTCTACACAAGTTCCAGCTTCAACTCTGCACTGCTCGGCAGTAACAGACTAACCAGGCTGCTAATTAGATATTAGCTCTTGATTTAAGAGTCTTGTGAGATTTGAGATGTCACATTTTAAGGGAATCATACTATTTCACGTAGGACTATTAATCATACAGGCACCTAAACTGTTAAAGTCTTGTTTCCTACCTGATTTGGAAAACGGATGAAGTATGCTATCACACTGAGACTAACACAAATTTAACCTTTTCATACAGGTTCCCCATACCTGTACCCTTACCAAAACATTCTCTTCCTTTATGAAATACCTGTACAAAAAACCCTTAGTCTACTCTTTCCAGAATACATAGCTGCCATCTCTTTTCTTGAAACTTTTGCAACACAATGTTTGCCACTAAGGAGCTTGGATGGAATTTCAAAGCAAATGAGCGACTCGGAATAAATCAATATAGACACAATGACTACATTTAGAAAGTATATATATTCAAGAAATGAGAAAAAAGTGACCCTGTAATATACATATGGAAATGCACTACATACAGGAAGCGTCAGCAGGTAAGATATGTGGGGTTTTTTTGCTGCTGTTCGAAAACCTGATAGTTTACTTGCCAAGGATATAAGAAGAATATATTTTAATGTAGAGAAGAGAGTGAAGCAGAGCTTTCATAAAAATTAATAGATCAAAAACTAAGCTGTGACAAAGTGCATAGATTAGAAACATGCAAGTAAAGAAAAGCAAAAATGCAGAGGCACAACTGCTGCAACAGTGATATTCAGCAGCTTGAGGATTCCGCTCAAAAAGTATGAAGTGAAAAGATACAAAAATCCTTCAAGGGAGAAACCAAAACCAACAGAAACCAGGGAACCAGAAAACAGCAACTCATCAATGCCAAATATCGGCCTGTTCCAAGGAGTACCAGAAGTTGAAGGTTTCCTTGCCCAACCCATATTTGGCTGCCTGTCAAAGGCTCATCAGGTCTTCCTGGGGGTGGTAGGCATTTGTCATATTAATCTATTCTGTGTACTGGCAAAAAAATGATTGCTTTGCACTCTGAAGGTGTGTATATCCTGCTTACAGGGCATCTCCATGAATAGTAAAAGTTGCTGGAATGAAGTGACCTGAGAGGGTAGGTCACAGGATAAAGCAAGAAGAGTAAACAGAATGTCAGCAAATTAGTAAAATCTAAGACACAGTGCAAATTGACACTGCTCAACAAGTTGTCAAGATACTGTTGGAAACAATGGGATGTCTAATTTATCTGTTTTAGATGGGCATAAACTTGTTAAAGTATTGATATATGCATTAAACTAACCACATTATTTAGGACTGTAAGCTTTTCAAAATGAGGAATACTTTATTTGAACAAACCTTCCATATCATAGTCTGCAGTAACTTCTGCATCTTCACAAAGCAAAGTGGAGCTTGTTGATGAAGGCAGCCCAATATTAATCTTCTCTAGATTCATTTCATCTTCCAAACTTCTGATCCAATCTGGATTTTTCAAGCTTATGTTTATAATCCTTCCTAGTAGCTGAATTGCCAAAAAGGTATGCACAAACCAGAAATTGTTAAAAGCAGGTACATGAAAAATCAGCCTTCTAGGCTGAAAAAAAATTACTGAAAACATCACAAATAAGGTTATCAGAATTTCTGAGGCTAAACAACACATCACAAAAATAATTATGCTTCTCACCTCATTTCGGTAATCAAGTACATTTATTTAGTTTAAACTGTTAATTACAACTATTCAATATTTTTCTAAAGAAAAATTAACAACTTGTCTCCTAAGATTTTTCTTTTCAGTTAATAGGAAAGCTTCTGTTTTCCTTATTCCAACAGAAATGCTACTCTTTGCAAAGAAAAATGGATGCTTATAAACTACATTATTAAAGTAATTTTTAGAGACTGATAAAAGAGCAGGCCTTCATTCTGCAAACTGACACATGACAATGAGCCCCTTATCCTGCATAGGCTGTCAGTGAAACTCAGCAGATGCAAGGATCCATCTGCAAACATCACATTACAGAATCTAAGTCTTAATAGGAACATAGATCAGTAAAAATTGGAACATGAAAATGACAATATTTACAAAGATTAAATACTGGCCCTACAGGAGTCAATGAGAGCTGAAATTTTGACATTATAAATTGACTGCAGTACATCAGTGCTGAATTCTAAATACTTGCAGGCTATAAATATGATAAACTGGTCCATACTACAAACTCAAGGTAAAAATTCTGCTTTTTAAATCATTTATATAAATAAATAGAAAATCCCTCATTTGATGAAGATGCCCCCCAATATGGGCTCTTAAGTTCTCTAGCAGTCCTCCTCCTAACAATAAATTAACTTTGGTATTTCTTTCAGATGGCTTTTGATAACATAATGATGACATAATGCTATACGGCTATCAAAAGCAAAAAAAACAAAAAAAAATTAAATGCAACAGTCTAGTATGGAACATGAAAAACTTAAAAGAATTAAAAAACAAACAAAACCCCCAACCCATTCAAGTACTCTTTAAGAAGTTGGATTTTCTGTTGCTGTACAGAAGTTCAGTAATTTTTACATTACCTCAGTACCATTTAAATTCATAACATTCAAAGCAGAGCTTCCTTCCAAAAATGTTACCCACATCTTGTCCTCAACGAACCTGCATTTGAAACAATAATTAAAATAAAAATACCTTATACTATCTACTAACTTCTGAAGCATCTTATCTTAAAGGGTTTTCAGTGTTTCACTCGATGAAGAATTTTTTTTTGTAGTTCATTAAATATATATAATTAGCTAATAAGCTCTAACTAAATGTATTCTTGCAACAACAAAAAAATAAAGCAAAAGGAACCAGGTAAATATCACACAGCAAAAGCACTGTCCTCTTAAAAATTATGTGACTACAGTTACACATTCAATATTAATTGTGTGGCTACAGATCAGATATTAGTATTAGGTGTTCCACATTACATCACACTATGGACTTCGGACTATGCTCCTAGTCTTCTGAAAAAAAACCGAAACAACCCCCCAAGAAACCCAAAGAAAATATCACAACAGTTATAGTTCAATTAACAGCTTAGTGAAAATGCAACATTCACAAGGATCCTCTCATCTTCAGTTCATTCAAGACTACTAACCTAATTTTAGAATGCAAAATTTGTATAAAATTACATAAATGACAGATTTTAACTCTGATTTCTGACAAAGTCAGTATGATATTCTATATCAAAACCAAACAGTATCTGGAAAAATTAAGCCTGAAAACTGAGACACATACAGGTATGTAAAACTAATTTCCAGCTGTAAAGACATTAAAGTTGGAAACTAAATGTTAAAAATGAAGCAGATCATAACTGAAATGCTTGCTAAGAAAGCAACTTTATTCAGGAAATAGGTGGGAACAATGAAGAGGAATAGAGATTAAAAGTAAAAAGTCTTTTTAACCTTATAAGTATAACTTCACCATAGCTTGCAAATTTTTGAAGAAGATCATCAATCAAGTTATCATCAAAATAGTTTTCTTCTGCTGAAGAACTTCTGATGGAGACCATTACAGTACCATCAGGTGGTCCTTGCACTGCAATCACCTCTTTATAAATTTTTTGTCTCTCTTCCGCTTCAATTTCAAATATGTCAATGTCAATCAATGCAACCACAGGCCTTGGAAAAAAACACACGAGAAAAAACCATAAGCAGAGCATCTGAACAACAAAATATATAACATGAATATGAAATCTTCAATGATTAGGAAGTAATGTATAAAATAAAACTGAAACCTATGATCAGATGTTTTCAGCTCTGCTCTTCCATAGTGCAACAAAGTACCAGGATTCCACGTATAAGGGACATTGCTGTCATCGTGAAAACTAGCATTCAGAAGATCCAGGTCTTCCGCTACATTCAGTATTAATGAAAACAAAAGGGGAAAAACACAGTGATTGCAAGAATATGCTTTAAAAAATAAGCTATTCGTAAAAAGAGATAAAAGAAAGTAAACCAAAACCAAGTGTTTTACAGAAAAAAACAGAAGATCCTTTTGAACTACTGAAATATCAGTAACTGGTATCTGATTCTTGATCCTCCTGTTCAGTGTCACTGTATTTATTGCAGGTACTATTATAAGCTTCCTGTCTCATACAAAGTCAGGGACAGAAGCTCAGAATCACTGGTGCTCTGAATGCCACTAAGTGGATTCTATAAGCCAGCTAATAGAATATTTTAAACTATTTAAGGAAGCTCTCAAACCTGATCGGTCAAAAGGCCACTTTCTTCTTCTCCAAAGAATACGATCTGTCCATGCCGGTGTGCGACATTTTTCACTGGTGTCATAGTCATCAGAAAATAGATCATATTTGTATGTAGGAGCAAAATTTATTTTCCCTTCCAAAAATCCCCTAAAAATCTGTAAGAAACAAAGCAGTTATGTGTCATGCCAGAAGACAGAAACAGATGGGAAACAGCTTGAAACTAATCAGAATTCTCTCTTCTAACAGTGAAAACCTGTATACGCATCTAAAATAAAATTAAAAAAAATTGATAATATGAACCCTGCTCCAAATTTTATCTACTGAAAACATTCTACGTTTGCCACTAAGACTCAATAGTGACCCAGACAGATCATCATTAAACAGAAGTATGTCAACACTTATCTTTAAACCCAGGCTCATGAGCAACCTACTGTTCCTCCAATATCGTTCAGAACTTGAGGTCATCCAGAACACAGATGCTGTCCACAGCACTTTCACTGGTCGATCAGTTGCTCATGTATCAGCAAATTTGGGAATTAAGGTTTATATTTTATGTACCTATCTGAACATGCAAAGCATTCCCCCAAATTGACAGAAGATGCCCCACCAATACACTGGAGTTAAGGGGGGGGGAAAAAAAGAAAAATACAGAATTCTTAATACATTCAATATGAACTGAAAGATTAAACAGATATCACTGTTTCTTCTCAAGAAAACAGGAAAACAGAATCGAAAGAGATATTGTGTGAAATTATCTGCCAAGAATACGTATGGTATTCAGAGATACAGAGTCAGTTGAAAGGAATAAAAAAATCCGTTAGGTACTTTGCAACATAAACAGATTCAGCCAGCTGACACAAGACCCTAGAAGGCCAGGAGATTTGCTCGTTCCTTAAGTGTTTAAATTAGACATAAGTGAAAACCCTTTAGTTAACCAGCTCCAGTCTGGAGTTTAATTTCGTATAGGCAGTTTTACTTCACATCAGAGATCTGTAAAATGTAACTGTAACTTAGATCTTATAGTCAAATGTAACTTAGATCTTATAATCAAGTCTGCATCAAATGACAGGATACTCTGCTTTTCTTGCTAGGAATATAAATTGAAATCCAGTCAATTTAAAAATCAATGTCAAGCATCAGAAGATCCACAACTTCTGAGACAATCCATCAATTTCTTTGCCTTTGGTAATTATTTGTTAACCTACTTTTATGAAGAAAGTTGTTATGTAAACACCTTTCCTGAACAGCAGATACACCAGTTAAGAGCCACATGCAACAATTGTGCAGCTACTCTCGCTAGCCAGCTGATACCCCCTGCTGCCCAGTCAGCCACTTCCAAATAATGGAATATTACTCCAACTGTGCAACACTACCCCTTCTTCTCCCCAGCCAGAAGGCTGTTTTGAATCTTTTTCATATTCCGGTAGTTTCCGTAGATGTTTATAACTGCTGTAAGTGTCCCCAGACCTCAACACCTCTTTTGTTTTGGTTGAATTAACAGACAATCATGCTGTTTGCCCATTTGGATGTACGTCTCTTTCTCTAGGAACTGGGTTAAAAAAAAAGAATTAAAAATTATCAAGTGTTTTTTCTCCTGTTCTCATGCACAAGACATCAGCAGAAACGGAAGAGAACTCCACTTCAGAAAAAGCACTGCTTAGTATCAAAGTGCTGGAAGGAGACAAAACTGACAACAGAGGACTGTCTCTCATTTTACCATCTACAGCCTTCCAACATAAAGCTGGAAAGAAAGAATAGACACATGCACACAAAATTTGATTAATTACAAATATTCCTTTAATTGCTACATGCTGCCTCCCAAGAAACCCTAAAAATATAAAAACTGAAGCTTTCTTCAGACTTTGTTATTCCATGCTCCTCCTCTTTGTAAGTAAAAAGACTATTGTCTGGGCTATTTCTTTTTCCAACAGAACAACAGAATGACAGTAACAGCATTAGACCTACTGCTGCAGCAACTTAAATAGCAACATTACCAAAAGAACTTCTACTAATATTTTTTAAACAGTTGCACCTGATGAAAAGAAAAATATTATAGTTAGTAAACTCCAACAAGAAGTTCTACAAAGATGAGTCTCCTTTTATTTCCAGCAGAGAAAGAAAAACCTCACTCTCACCAGCTGGGCACTATACTTATATCACTGCCTCTTCAGGTCAGTTATTACGAATAAATTACTAAGTGTTGCTATGTCCCACCCTTCCATACCACTACCTGGACAAAAGTGATAAGTAAAACATGCTGAGGATATAGATTTACAGAAGCACCACAGAAAATCACCAAAGCCAAAAACAAAAATAAAGTATTTTTAAGTGCGGTAACATTTTTAAGATACCTGTCCAGAATTTTTCTGATTGATAAGTTGGTCTCCTGCTATAAGAGGTTCCCAGTTCTGTTGTCGTATTAGGTCCTTAACCTCCTCATTTGGAATATCTATTCGATAATTAAAGTCACCACACCAAAAGATATAGTCATGGGAAAAGAGCATCCTTCCCTGTAAAACAGAAGCACACAATGAAGTCAAAAACAACGAAGTGAGAAATTTACTACTTCCAGGTGCAGAATTTCAGTTTTTAACTGTAAAATAGGTATAATTTCTAGCTGATGAGGATAACTGAAATTCATGTTAGTATTTAGTGTTCATACGCTTAGAACAACATAGCCAGGGTATGGTATTCACACATATAGAATATGAACAAAGAAGTAACATTTCTTATACAGTTTGCATTTCTAAAGAAACATAAAACATTCTAAAATCCTTCATCTTTCTACTCCTGTTCTAGAAGTCTGCTCTAAGATGACAACTGGTACCTGTGTCACACAGGAGAACAAAACACTACCCTGGGATCTTTTGGCACAATATCCTGACAGACTGCAGGGCTTTATTATTCAGATTTAATCAAAGACTTTTCAGTTACATACAATTTTCAAAGCTAGGGTGAGACAGAAGGGCTCTGTTAGTTTAAATAAAGCCTACGGTTTAAAGTGAGAACTTTTACTTCCCTCTTTGTTTTGATTTTTCCATTGTCCTTAAGTTAATCAAAGCAGATACACTGGCAGATTAAAACAGCAGCACGACAGCATTTAGGAAACTGTCTCTGGGGACCATAAGAATATAGTAGTTTCAAGAAAAACAGAAACATGACCATGAGGACAAATTTACAAATTAAAAAAACCTGTAAAATAAGATGTCAGACTCCTGCACAGTGCCACAGAAACTAACTGTCCTGCTTTCAGATGGGACAGAGTTAATTTTATTCCTAGTAGCTGCTGTGTTTTGGATTTCGTATGAGAATAATGTTGATAACACATATTATTTTTAGTTGTTGCTAGATAATAATTATATTAAGTCAAGGACTTCTTTTCTTTTTTCAGCTTCCTACAGAAGCTGAAAGGGAGCATAGACAGGACAAGCTGGCCAAAGGAATATTCCATACCACAGATGTCATGTTCAGTACACAAATGGGGGCTGGTCGGTGTGGGGGCAGGAATCCATGATCACTGCCTGGGACGGCAATCAATCAATGGGTGGTTAGAAACTGTCTTGTGTATTACTTGTTTTGTATATTTGTTACTATTATTATTATCGTTATTTTCTCTTCCTTTTGCTGTCCTATTAAACTGCCTTTATTTCAATCCACAAGTTTTACTTTTTGTCCATTCTCCTCCCCACCCCACTGCGGGAGAGGGAGAGGAGTGAGTAAGTGGCTGCATGCTCCTACTTGCTGGCTGGGGCTAAACCACGACACTAACAAAGGATACTGACTACAAAACTTAAGACAGCTTTAAGTCCCAAGGAAGCATTTTGTTACACTGATAAAATTATCAAGTATTTACTTGGTGTTTGATAATCCTTTATGAGAACATGGTACAGAACTGTACAATCCAGCTTGTCAAAAATAAGCAAACAAGAAGTTAAATTAAGTCGGCAAAAATCATTCTTGTGTACTGAAAATAGTGCTGTTTCCCATGGATTTTTTTCCTATAGTTGACTGTCTCTGATGCCTACAAAAGTTCTACTGCACGTGAGGAATCTGTAAGGTCTCTTTCCTGTGCCAAATTCTTGATGCCTAAATGCAAGTGAATTCATGCTTCACCATCTCTATCAGTCATTGCACTGGAAAGGTCTATTCATTCTGCAGTCATCTATTTTAATATAACTTGTGGGAATTTAATTATCTCTGGATGTCTAACCCAAGGAAATTTGATTTCCACAGGAATCTGGGGAGGGGAAAAAAATAAACAGAGGTTTTGGATGACCGTTCTGGAGCTCAAAGGGTTTAACTTATTCATTATGGAATTCAAACACTGTTCCTTACCATTGGAAAACTGAGCTTGCGAGCTATTTCTACGAAGTCTTCGTTTCTCTCCTTAACTTGTGATTGCCCTGCAGCAAAATGACTGCAGACAAAGCAAAGGCTGGACGTATGAAACAACATCCGAATTGCTACTGCGCCTTTATTACCAGTGGCTCCTCCCATGCCGGTCTTTACAGTATCAACAGCAACATCCCTAAAAGAGTTAAACAACTATTAAACCTTCAAATACAATGGTAGAAAAGTCAACAGTTTTAAGTATCTCCGAGTATAGCATTACGTTGGTAAGAGAACATTTTCACATTCTTTCAGCAGTAAGGCCACTGGGCTATTTAAAAAAAAAAATGGCAACAGCTACTGAGCCGGTAACAACAGAACACTTCAACTTTTCAAGCTTTCTTGGCAACTGATGAGGCATTTAAAAACTAAGAGAAAAATTTAAGCAAGTAGCTCCCCAGAAGATGGAACAGGTCTTATAGAGCCCCATCTGCTTCTCAGTACACTTGTACGTTAGCTTGCAATACAAAGCAAACGGAAGGTGACCCAACTTGGGCACAGCTGTGCGTTCACTGACCTGATAAAAGGAGCGTGCTGGGGCCTGATGAACACAAAAAGGCAGACGCCCACCAACTGCTCAGAAGCCAGCAGCACGTACTTGTAATCTCTTGATATAGTCTTCTGCAGTTCAGCAGCCCAGAGCTTCTGATTGGTTGTGCTAGCAGTGAGATTAAAAATGCCAGTTTTACATTAAATCTAATTAAGCAGGTTAACAGGCAGAACTGTTGATCTAGTTGAATAAACTTCGTATGATAACCTTAACTTAAGCTTGGCACGGTAAGCCAAAGCCAAGTCGTGAATGGTGCTCAAATGCCTCCTAGCACAGACACAGGCTACAGACTGTCATGACACCATCATTTCAAATTCAGCCTCATAAAATGTTGCCTCACTTTTCTCAACACCACAGACAATGTTAGGAGCCAGGGCTATCTTTCCTCTATGTCTGAGGCTAGACTAGAGCAAAACCTAATTTTTCTAGGGATTTACTTCCTAGCCTAGAGCTCAGTCAGTACTGGAAAACAGAGACGTCTGTGGTCTTAGATCAAGCAGAAACTTCCCTGGAGACCTAACAGACTATGGTTTTCAGAGCTAGCATTGGAAACAAATGAAAAATATCAGACCTGGGAACAGCATTAACTAGACATAGCATAAAATTAGGGGATGACAAACCGCCACTTTGTCCTCAAGACAAAAGCCTGTGCACAGGCTAACAGTGTTACAGGCTTTAGATGCTTTCTCCAGCGAGTTACAGCTTGCAGAAAACACGCAAAATTGGCAGAAAAAACAATGGGCAAAGTGCATATGATCCTAGGACTACACATAAAGACTTCACCACTGGTATCACCCACCACTGGTAAAAATATATTTTCATAACGTGTTCCGCTAGAGGTGAAAAATCCGAACTCTATGATAATATATACACATAATATGTAGAATGACAGCAAAACTGGCAGCATGGAAGGAAGCACTTGCTTTATACAGATCAAAACTTGATGTAAGACACTACATAAAGGCATACGAACAATACATGCTTTTGGAAGCAATTTCACAGGACTTGCTGTTCCCAGCAGTAGGAAGGCACAGAGACTGCAGAACACGGAACATTGGAGGTAAATTCCTTCACAGTGTTAAATGAAGGAAAAAGTTCAGGGGCTGCTCAAGGTGCAATCCAAAATATGGTCAAGCAATGGCAGTTTGGATCCTTGAGATTACATTATACATGATGTAAGTGATCACAGCTTTGCTAGGGAAAATTGCAATGAAGTCTGCAATCCTGGCACAGAAACTGGTAGAAAGAACTGGAACACAGTCAAAAATTAATCCAGACTAATCTCAACCATTACAAAACAGGAGGAAAAAACCATTAAATAACATTTTATTCAAAAAATGTGATTATCAACTAAACTAGTACCGTATAGATTGTATCACCTACCTGGCATTCACAATGTTTCCTGCATTTAACTCCACCATTTCTTCAAATCCAATGGCAAATATGTCTACAGGCTTGCTTTTGCGATCTGCATTAAATATTTTAAAAGTTATTTGTCGTTTATAACCAACTTAAGAACCAAGACCTCATACATCTATTTTAATGTTTGTGATCTAATTATGAAAATCAGAGTTCTCAAGAACAAATTGACAGAATACAAATCCTACCTTGGAATTCATGAATACCAGCTAACTTTGGTGCATCTAGAAGCCAGTCAGTGAGCGTCTGATTTCTAAAGGCAATGCTTCGAAATTGCTTCCCCCCGTTGACATTCCATGTCCCAACGCAGACTCTAATTTTTTTCGGTTTTGCATACTTATAAAAGTTTTCACACATACTCTTTAGCACTTTTACAGATGCTGCAAAAACATTTGAAAAGACATTATTTTTATATAGAATGTTTCTTCAGAAAACTTGGCAATGAGATCTTTCCCTTAAAAAAATGGCAACAAATCTGTGCACAGACATACAGAAAGACAAACTGTGAAAACAAGATGAATGCAGCTTTTCACAAGGGAAAGTACATTTGCAGACATATTACTTGTCTGGGTAGGATACCGACTGAATGAAAGACAGTAGCTATTTGTTCGAAGTAATATGAATAAAAATAATACATAAAGGAAACATAATTTCTATGTTTTATAAATATCTGCCATTCTTTCACCCTATCTGTGTTTCTCTATGGAAACCATTATTTTTTCACACATACCACCACAGATAGCTACCTCATTTTCACAGATTACATTTATGAAATTCAATCTCCATTACAAAAACAACTTACATATATGTTAATTTGTAGAAGTGTAAAGATGACTGATATACTGCATTTAGTAAAATAGATATTTTACTAAAATAGATCATTTTATTATATTAGACTATGCCTACTTAAGCCACAAATCTGAATTAGTTTTTAGGTCAGCTGAATTCCTAAAATTCTGCTTTAGTGAGGAAAGTAGGCTAGGATTCAAAACAATTAAACTCATTTCTCTATCACACCAGCCTTTCTCTGTGCCATGTTTCTAGCTGCCAGATGGGAGAGAAAGTAATGACCCATCTGTAAAGGGCATTGTAAGAAAGAAGCAAACAAGATTATTCAATGGTCAGATGCTAGAGTTATAGAGATTCTAAAAGCCCCTTCATAAATCAGCTGCACAAAATACTCACACAGATATATTTCTTCATGCAGACAAACAGATCTGAATATTTTTTTCAATTATGCTCCTTTTTTTCTTTAATCTCAGTGGAATAAAAATTGCATCAGATATGAACAGTATTGTTTGCATTGCACTTTACCTAAGTGAATATTTTGAACACTCTTATGGTTATGAGATTCTGTGAGAACTGTATAAACAATATTAGATGGAATTCTTCTCTTCACAGTGTGCTGCCTTGCAAAATGGTCAGCTACTGGACATAATATTTTCATCCAGATACCCAAAACAGGATGATTAGTGAGCTGTTGTTGTCTTTTTAGTTATATTTTTAAAGTTTACCACCTTTAAAATTGCTACAGAATCTTGGATACCCAATTAAAATAAAAATCAGGGATTCTGTAGCCCTCATGGTTTTGAAACAAACTGGAAACAACAGACGAAAATAATACATTGTATTTGTTTTTCATGAACTCTTTCACTGCTGAACAAATCCTATGTCTGTATATGGGCTAATCACACATAAAAGACAACGAGCTGACTGGTGTCTCCTCGGGGTACTACAAGCGGATCGCGCTTTCCTTATCATAATCCAGGTAAATTAAGTCAAGAAAACAGCAAGGAGCCAACAGAATACTTTACACCTTGAGGTGAGAGCCAAATAACCAGTCTACTTCAGAATGTATCTACACACTAGGTAACAGTCAAGAAGTCCACAAATGCCAGAAAAGCCTCTGAGGATCAAGGACAGAAGCTACCCAAGCACCTGACCACTGAGGAGAAACTAATCCAAGAAACGTAGCCACAATACATACAAGTGCCCAAATAATCCAAAGGATTAGCTGAACCCAAGGAACCCAAAATAGCATCACAGACAGCTTTGAAGATCTGCACAGATTAGCCTTCGTAGTACTCTGAGCAAGTTTAAAAGCAGAAGTTTGGACTTTCATTCTCTGCACTTCAGTTCCTCCTTCTTCTTTTGCAAATTCAGCAATTTTCAGCTTAATGTTAAATAGTTACTCCAAATAATTCATATTTGCTACCAAGCAGCTCTTAAGAAAAGCTGCAAAATTGAATTATTGCCTATTTAACTTCTGACATTGTCATGAACCCCTAATGTGAAAAATCTTACCAGGATAGAATCTAACTTTAGAATTGAACTGACAACATGCTTCTTACAAACCTGAAATTCATACCTTTAAACTAGCAAGCTTTCTAAACTGTAGAATGACTTTTTCTAAATTAGAATAAAAAAAAATAGAGATGAGATTTGCATCTATTTTTCAAAATACTGAGTGAGCCTCCTGCATTCATTGTTTTCCTACTCTTTTCTAGCTATTTATCTTTTCAACAAAATCGTATCTCACTCTACAACATTAAAAATCCAGTCAACTACATTTTCTGTTATTTTGCAGCAATAACACTTTAACTGCTGTTCATACTAGGCAGGCAGACACTTGGAAATCGGTTCTACAAAGGTAATACTAGTTTAAAATTGTTGGTGGAATATTCTGTGCAACTGAGTTTGATTGAACTATTTTACTACAACATCCAAATTACTGTAGATATGTTTCAATATATGCAATTTGTATCCAGATGAAACCACAGTGAAATGTTCCATCAGGAAGTTAAAACATAGTTGATGTGTATGACTCTTCATGAGATATAAGCTAGGCTGATATAGCCTAGATGGTAACACCACAGATGACAATGTGACTGTTTATTGCAATAAACAGTTTTTAACACTGGTAAAATGCAGGTAAATCAGTTAATTTCAGGTGTGTACTACCTGTGACTCAGATTTTATTATTTAAGTATTCAGTAAGAGTTAAGTAGATACAGGAAAACACTAATAGAAAAAGCAAAGCTGAGACAAACGTAAAGTGAAAATATTTAAAGCTCAAAAATACAGATCACAGTTGAACTGGTTTTCGGGGGGTGGGGGGGGAGCTTTAAACACTTCATATGTATTTGAACAACAATCTAGCCAACAACAAATCCTCATGCTTTCCTCCAAGGATCCTCCCCTGTCAATATTCAGTATCCAGGGCTAGGGGCCACTACCTGAGCACACAGGTCCAGGGGATACTGTGCACACCTTCGCTGTTCTCTTAAAATGGGAGACTCATCTGAACAATTATTAAGAGCTTCCTTGTTTCTTTCCCTCCTCCTCTCTCTTCGTCTTCCCAGGAATTAAGAATGGACTTTTTTGCTCTCACCCAGAAACTACGCATCTGATTTGGTTTCACTGAACCTACTTCCAAGAGGTAGCACAATGAACCCTATAAAGGCAATAGCTCAGAAATAGCCATTGAATTCTTCTCTACACATAGTAAAATCTGAACATATGAGCATTAGGAATATTTTATTTTAAATAGTGGTTTCTGGGAACAAGAAGATGATGAAGTGTTGCACAGCTGACAAGTACTCGCAGCTCTCCCTTAAAAATACGGAATATGTATGTATCACAGCTCCCCAAATAGAGCAGCTTCATGTAAACAGCTTAAGTTACAACAAAACGGAGAATTTCCACTAAGACTTAGAAAATTTTGAAAACAAAGTTCAAGGCATTATGTTGCTAACTAACAGCAATAATAACTTAAGTTTTGGGAAGCTTCTTAAACTGAAGAGATCTTCCATGTCATTTTCCTCTATCTGGTTCATCCCTACGCATTCTTATTATTACATATCACTTCTTCATGTTCACAACATTGCTGAATCCTCCAAAGCCAACCTCTCATATTTTAAGTCCAACACCACAGACAATGCTCACATACTACTGCACTGTCTTAAAGTAGAAGATGGGGAATTAACTATTAAGTTCCTTCTTCAGGCCTTCTCTTCACCGAGAGTTTTACCTAAACAGATGCTCTTAATGCTTTCATTTTGTGCCACGTGCAAAGGTAACTATCTTAGCGGTTCTGACTGCACTTTTGCTCCACAAAACACAAGTGTCAGCACATTATTTCAGATCATTCCAGTACAATGTTAACCTTTGCTTGGAGTTATCACAAAATCAGTCCACTTCATGCAAGAACACAGGCAAGTGGAGCCTTCTAACAGCAAATACCATGAAGTTACAAATTGTACTGAAGAATTTTACCTCTTATACTAAACAAATCATTTAGACAAAACAAAAATACAGAAGCTCCCAAATCAGATTAAAAAGCTAATTCCTCTACAGCTAGAATAAAGCACTTGTAAAAATAAAACCTAAAGAATTGGTTGCCTCTTTTCGTAACTCACACTCATGCACACCTGCAACATTTTTCACCCCTTATACTTTCACTTTTCTTGTATTAAAGAGCATTTCTTGGATTAAGGGATTTTGGGGCACAGGAATGTCAGATCCAAACACCACTAGGAAAATGTGAGCCCACAACCAAATATTATGCAAATAGGCACAAGAAAAAAGCCAAATAAGAACAACAGCTGCTCAGATATTTACAGCTTAATTTACTATACTATACCTGATTGTAATGATTGCTCTGAAACTACGGATGCAGTAAGAAGGAAACAAGAACAAAATTAGTCAATTAAGTAACAGTTTGTAAAATTTTCCAGCAATATGTGAGAGAACATGCTGTAATATCCTATTTATTAGACATAACCATTTGCATCAGTTAAAGCACATCTTTTATGCTGCAATATCTAAAAAGTTCCACAACAGTATTAACAAATTATCTTTTCTTGCTTCATTAATAATGGATTTACATATGATGAAGTATCTCTCTAGTTAATTCACCACCTAGCACACAATGCAAAGACATTATGTTCATTCAGTGAAGAAAGATGAATGTTCCTCAGCTGACAGGAGCTGCAAATATTGACAGGACAGCTTGCATTCTCAAAGAAAGTGAAAAGAAATGAAAATGACTTTCAACTAATTTTGAGGTGAGGCCAATTTAGCAGCCTTCAGATACAGGAAAAATTACACTAATGTGAAACCTTGTGGTAAAAAAAAATGAGAGGAAAACAGTCTTTCAGGTTCCACACAGGACCTACAAAAATGCCCACAAGATGAAGACTACAATCGGGCAAGTATTTATTTTTGTTCCACAGATTTGTATGGAAGCTTTGACACATTTTTATCATTCTAGGTTGAGAAGTGTCCAGCAGAAAGGAGGGAACAAAAAAAAAAAAAAAAAGAGAGAGAGAGAAGGAAAAATTAAGAATGTTATTAATCCCTAAAACCAATAACCCACCATTCAGGACACTCTTACCTGGGATTCTGTAAAGAAGACTCAAATTTAAGTTCCCTCTTTGCTCCTCTGTGTTTTTCATCCCAGGAGAGGACTCTAAACACAGCCCTACACCTGGTCCACTTACTGTTTCCCTGCCCATCAGATCTGCAGAAGGACGGGACATGACTGCATTCCTGGGGACCATCGTTTGAGGATGCAGGATGCTGTGGTTCAGCCCCCTGTTCTGATGAGGTGAACCAGCTGCCTGTCACCAGACCTCTCAAGTCCCACACAGCTACTCTGCCTAAGCAGAGTTTCTTATTGAAATCCCTCTGATTCTGATGTAGAATTTCACCCAAAGCCTGACAAGCTTTTGTGGTGCACACACTCCTGGGAAAGACGACTTCTCACAAAAAAACATTTTGTGATGGAAAATTATTCATCAGGAATTTTCTGATAGCTCTTGTTACCTTAAATTTTCTTCCATTACCAAAACTCCTTTTGTTTCTCAGTACTTTCGAAATCAAAATGAAGATAAGTACCAGCATTCTTAAGCTTGAGAAAAGAAGAAATGCCTTCTATCTAGTTTAACACCATGGTGAGAATTTCTCCACTGACAGGACAGATCAAATTAAGGAAGACATTTGGCAAGCAACAAAAATCCCTACTAATCTTCTAATAAATCAGGATTCCCCCCCCCTCAATTCAGCATGTAATTGTCTTGATTAACACTTGCTATAAACGGATTTGAAGAACTAAACAGAACATATCTAACATGCATCTACCATAAAGTTCTGACAAAAATGCTCCACAAATATTTACCTATTGCACCGCCAGTCATCAACAAAATATAAACAGTAAAGAAATTACTTCAGCATGTTAGTTTGGTAATATTAGTAAAGCAGAAGTAACTTCTAATAAGCCAAAAGAATATAAACTAGCATTTATATTTTCCAATATTGCTTTGAAAACAGACTCCATACAGCTTTCTTACACCAAATAGTTATCAGACAAATTAAAATCCTGAAAGACACATACCGCGTAAACTGCTGGTGGTTAAGAGAGCCCGTGCTTTATCTGCTAAATCACTATTTAGGGTATTTCCCAATAACAAAACATCAATGGCCTCCTGCTTGGAGCTATCAAAAAAGTTATTTTGAATCGTTCTGGTCACAGAACGAGCACCATCCTTCAGCTTTCCAGCCTGTTAGGGAGGAACATGTATAAAATATTTTATGTTGGACATTGCTCACAAAAACATTGCTAATATTCAGTAACATATTTGTAAACTGCATTAATGATTTTAAAATCTAAGGCAATTCCTTGCTTAAGCATTAAGTAAAGTCTTCTGAGCCTACTGTAATATGTGTGCTCTTTCTCCAAATGCTAAACAACACAGCAATACCTTCAAGGCATATCTAACAATCAGATTACTCCAGTTTAAATTATTAAATCAAACAAACTACTGCAGGAAGGGGAATAATTTTTGTTTTCCCTAAACCCTTGGTCTTCCAAAATTAAACTGACGTAATTCCATGTTTAGACCATGACACGGGATTTTGGGCTTTTCCCCAAATAGTGAGAGATGAGCAAGCACTCGAGTCCAAATGTCATGATACATAAGTATGTATGTATATGCACTTATGAGCATATTAGTTCAGAATTCACGTTCTGAAACATCCACGTTAAAAAAAGGGATAGCTTCAACTTATTAAGACTCCTTTACTTTTTAAAATAACATGCAAGTCTCATGCAGTATCCCAGAAGGAACATATACACTCCTCTATAGCTACATACATCTGAAGACGCTGTCATTGCACACACTGCACATGAGTGGTACAACTGAACGGTGCTCCCAAAGAACAGTGTCTGACCACCTGAAGTAAACAAGAATCTCCAAGAGATGTACTGCTACTACCGATATTCTCTGTGGGTCAGACACCTAGAGGATAATGTAATTAACATGTCATGCGGTCTCATACTTGATTCAAAAACCAGCAGTATTAATCTGTGTGCCCACCACTGACAATGATTTCACAGGCACAAAGACATTTTCTTCATTTCAGGGTTTATAGTGTCTTATGCACATATGCGTATTTTCCCTGTGAGGTGTATATAAACACATGCTATTACATTCATATGAAATATAGACTGTAATCCATCAGGGATGCTGCATGGTATTACATTACTATAAAAAAATACTAGAGGTTTACAGCTTGCACTGTTCATGAAGGTCTCTTAAATGCACCAGGAAAAAAGACACACGCTTAAGAAAACTACAAAACCACCCCATCACTTAGTTCTATGAATTGTACTAGGTAACAAGGAAGAAGCTACTTTTTTGTCAAGAATAAGTAGTAGTAAATTGGCATCGTGTTTTTTTGAAGACAATGTGGATGAGGTGTTGGCGAGCATAGAGCATACTACTGCAATGGGATTTTAACAGGATGTTGCTCCCTTTCTGTCAGACAATGTGTAACTTATGACATGATTCAAAAAACACACTCACCATTCACATATCAGGCAATTAATTGAAAGGAACCCAGAGAAAGCAAAAGAAAGAGTAGGTAAGGAGTTAGATATAATGAGTATGATAATATTTCTAAAAGGATTAGTTTTCAGTTTAGAAATGTACATTAACACATTTAAGGCTAAAATATTTTTTCTCCTATCATAAATTTCCATATTTCTACTTCTAAGTACTCTTGGACTTTGAAGAATCAAACTGACAAGCAAGAAATGGCAGAATTTCAAACATGAAACTTTTCATTTGAAAAATGAGAATACAACTAACAACTTGAAAACTACATTTTAAAATATATCATCAGAGTACTCAAGAAGATACTAAGTAGTGACCTGGTCGGGTTTCATCAACACAACGGCAAGTATTGCATGGCTTTGGAAGTATTAAAGATCCTCTTTGAATAGATGGACTTCTGTCAGGGACGCTGTGTTTGATTTGTAAGATGTGGTACTCATTAATAGTTGTACCAGGGCAGGGATCCCTACGACAATGATTGACTAGTCTGTATGATTACAAAGACAGCACAGTAAATGTACTCTGCATTTTAAACATTAAGTATGGAAGTGTAAATACCATAAATGCATTTTACAAAGTAAAAAATTTAAGTACCCAAATGAATAGCAGAAAACTATTAATTTAGGAAAAGAAAGAAGTAAGGCTGAGTGAGAAGGTCAGGAGAAGGGGACACATCCCGTAAAATACTTACTGTAGTTTTCCTGACGGTCTGGGTGACATTTTTGTAAGAAAATAAAACTAAACATCTTTAACTGAATTCCATTCTATACTAAAATACAAGCAAGTCCCAAATGAAGAAGTCTTGTATGCACCAATTAAGGGCAGAATAAGCAACAAGCCTATTTTACTTGTATTTTTATGTAGCTTACTGCAATGTCTTGTACACTTGCAGAGAAGGACTCTGACATGGTTTGCATGAACAAGTGATGGAAAAGTGAAACAATCAACTATGAATACGTAGTATATAACATGGAATGAGAATAAAACGAGGGGTACGAAAAGAAATTTTTCAAGGAACTAAGGGCAAAAATTGCTATGGTTCAACATTCATTTGTCTTGACAGGTATCACATGATAAGAGAGAGAATTATGGAAACAAAAAAGCAACACTGTTAGAAGAAAAATAAAAGACAGTATTAGAAAACCTGAACAACTCAGGCATGAATGAAGACAAAACAAGTTGAAGAGACACACAGCATTACGCTGCCATGTAGTACAGAATTGTTATCACATTAGAAAGCAAGGTAGAAACAGAAATTGGGTTTTTCTCAGTAACTGCAAGACTAAAAAGAAACAGCTGAAGGAACACGCAAACAAAAAATACTCAGCTGCAACCTGTTGAATTTTGACATTGTTAATAAACAGTAAGAGCATGAACAGCATCCAGTGAAACACATTTTAAAAGAAAGGAGATACAATGAATGAAACTGAAACAATACTAAGCAGTGTCACAGTCAGAAAAATGATGATATTCAAAGAAACTAAAGCTGATTCGCATATACATTTTTCTGAGCTATGATCTAAAGAAATCAAAGATTTGAGCCTCATCGTTTCCTACAGAATATTACTGTCTGGGAAGCACGGGCATGGCTGAGAAAGGATGTACTGAAACGAGAGCTGGTTATCAACATAACCAGTCTTTTTATGTTAATGTTTTGTTCGGTTGGTTTTTTTAGGATTATAACAAAAGGACATTTTTTAAAGAAAATTTCATAGTTGTTATATTAATAACAGAATGTTTAAAAACCCACATTGAATACTGTTAGTTTTTTTAAAAATGTATTTTACCTTAGCTTTTCCTTCGAGGGCTCCAGTCCCAGCATAAATTTTACTGACAGAATCACCATTCACAGACCACATGGATCGGAAAACTTCCTGAAAGCGAGTAACCAGCTGAGGCTTCTCAGCTAATCCCAATACCTCCAGTTGTTTTATTAGCATCTGCAACAGTTGAAGACAACATTTGCAAAAGAAAAACCTTTAAATGTATTTATTAAAAGGCATATCACATTTTTTCAGTATATATGAACAAAAAAACCCAACCCCTTCAGTTTCTATGTACCGTTCTGAACATACTGACACCACGTCATGTGAAAAGTTGCATCATACATGTCACTTTAGCACCAGCATTTCATTTTCTTTTAAAATAGGTAGTAATCTAAGAAAAAATTTATACAGTTGATTTACAAATATTTTCATCTAAAAATTCACTAGCTACAAATCAAGCTATTTCTGGTTCTCAAGTCTTCCTACTTAGATAATTTGGAATTAGAGCAATTCATGTTCTTCCCAGAAAAGTATAACACTAAACACAGACTTCTATTATCATGATGCAGCAGGAACAAAGCTCTGTGATCAGTGAAACAGCAATGGCTTCTGCCATTCACTCTTTTTCCTTGTGTAACACACTGCAACCTTTACCCTTCCAATCAATACACTGGAACTAATTTTCCACGATGCACAGTCTACATTAAAAGTGTTTAAATTGTATACATACAATACATATAAATGTTATTATTTTACACTTAAATACATCACTTAAATGTAGCACTATGCTCACGGATGTAGAATGGGACATTGTACCTTGTTTGAAATCCTGGTTTATGGAATCATGATTATTTTAAAAAAGTCAAGCAAGTTTCTAGTACTTGTGGCTACCAACGTAATACTGAAAATAAATACCAAAAATTAAAACTACATAAAAAGGCTATTTTCAAGAACTTAAGATCTTTAAAACCTTGAGGTGTCTCAACGGCAAGAAGGAGTCATCTAAAACGATGAACATAAAATGACATAAAGGCAAAACGCTGAAGGTTGGGCAGCAATTAACAAAAGTTACAAAAGGAAACTTGCAGACAACATTAAGTAGAAAAAAACAAGAAAAGAAGCTTCAGAAATTGGGTGCTTCATCTTGTAATTTTAGGTATACGTAATAATAATAATAATAATAATAATAATCCTTTTACTTAGTTTGATGTTACAGCATACATAATTTTTTCATTTTTAAACATGCCACGGATTTTATCTTCAGGAGTCAAACAGTTTAAGATGAGCAGTGCTGTCAAAAATTTTTCAGAGCTACTCCTTTAGCCCAGTCAGTACTATTTTACTCCATCAATTCTGTCATGGTTGAATCCCACAGTTGATTTCCAACTACTCAAACTGAGTGTGACCAAAGTCTCAACCTCTTTACCATCCCATGAAGAATTCACAGCACAGTGCTGTGAAAATACGAACACACAGCACTGGCAGATGGTAAGAACAGTAATCCTATATGCTGAAGAACTGCATCTAATAGAGTCACTGTGAATGCAAGCGTTTTTGTGAAGGACTACAACACTACTACCGCTCCTAGACTTGCAAGCCTGAACCTTAAAAGACATAAGAAACTGACACCTAAAAAAGAACGAACATTTTTTCATTATGCCGCATGACTACTGTGTAATTACAACTACCACACAACTACAGCTTCTGTAACTACTAAGATGTGGTTGCCCCAGAACAAGAAAAGTATCATTCTATAAAGCAAACTGCCACCTAAAAACCATTTTAATTCATCTTTCATATGGAAAAGTAATGCTACTTTTACAGCCTAATTGCTACAGAAGCATCAGGAGCAGCTGTGAATCTGGACACCGTTTTTCCTACCTCTAAGCCAAAGAAAGCCTGCACGCTGTTTGTTCTATCCAGACAGTCCAAGCAGTTTGTTCTGACAGTGCCGCTTTGAGATCTGTGCCAAGGACAACGAGAGACAGAGAGAAAACACCAGAAATAACTCATTTAACACATATATCATCAAGAAAGGCAGGGACATTGAGATCTGAACCAGAATAGTAAATCAGGGTATTGTCAGTGCAATGTTACTGTCATCGCAAGTATGCTTATAAATACATCAGCAATAGAGGGTTAGCTCCAACAACAGCAGAGAATTTTGCAGCAGTGTTCACTACACAAAACTGATTTACTTTCTCCAAATAGCATAAGCTTTTCTTCTTCAGCTTTTCTCAATTCTCCTTGCTTGCTTGGTTAAAGTGTTACGCAGGATTAAGTCTTCTTTACAAACACACACTTCCCAAGAATCTCAGAAGGAAATAATAACTCTTTAGTTAAAACAGAAATTAAAAAAAAAAAAAAAGGAGAGTTCTTGGATTTAACTAAAGTAACAAAAATTTGTGATAAAACTAAAGCCAATTTCAAACCCTTATTACTTTTTTTTTTTCCTCCCCAAATAAAAATGAAAAATAAGCCTCTCCCCCTTAGCTTGTCACATGCTTGAGACCCTCAGGAACTCTGAACAGCTCCTCTTTCCTTGAGAAGACCATTAACTCATGCTAGAAAGCTCTCAGAAGGATCGTATCGGGCAACATCCATGTTGTTCTTGCCTAGCTATGACTACAAAACTCTGATGGCTCTCTCAATGATACACACTTACTCCTTGCTTTTGTCATTCCCACTAGACACTTTGTCCAATTCAGTCACTAAGACTTCATCACATTTACTTGGGAGATGTAAGCATAAAATTGTAGAAACTTCTGAAGAACTTTCTCCAAGATTTCTTTTTAATTACTATCTCTGTATTTGATTTGAAATATAAAGCAACTCACTATCTGAATTATGAAAAACCTTGACTTTCTCCAAAAGAGGTGTTCCATGAACATACAAAAATCATCACTGTATCTTTTATTAATGCAATTCTTCAAGCTATCACAAGTCACAGCCTATTTTGCTTTCTTTCTGTTTTCAACCTTTTTGATGGGTGATATTATTTGAATTTCCATCAAGACCAAATGGTGTTCTCCCAACACAAAGTGTCACACCACTTTTAAAGCTTTTTGGAGAATGGTCAGTGATGTTTTGAGGTAGGGATGGGACCTAAGCACCCTCCCACTAAATCTAATCTTATTCAGGCCTACTAAAACCTGCCCCTGGGGGATTTAATCCCACAGCCAGGTTAGAGCACAGAGTGGCACTGCAACCCTCTTCTCTCCCACTGCACTAAAAGATAAAACCCCAGTGCATGTGGCACAATCCACTCAATCAACAATTCTCTTTCTCATGGAGAACCTCACCCAGCACTTTGCTCTGGTATTAATTAAAAGGTGGAAGGGTATGGAAGGGACAAGAGCAGGAACGTTGCTTTTCTCTAGGAAGAGGGGTGGGGAAATAGGGACAGAAGTACAAGTACAGCAGGACCGGGAAGTACAGAGCAGGGCAGAAAACATGCATCCCATTCACACTTTACGGGGAACCGAATTGCTCAAATGGGGGATCCAGATGCAAACAGATTTAGAAAAAGACTGTGCTGAACACCAGCATTTACAACAAACAGAAAACAGTATGCCCCATTGCTGAGGAAAATATGAACATCATCATACAGGAAGATGGAAAAATATTCATTCTTTAATCCCATGGGCGTGCACCCAAGAAAAAGGACAATTGCCCATTTCCTCAAAATCACGAGGTCAGAGGCCTGAAATTGTCATGCCCCATCAATATCTCAGAGATATTTTCCATTAAGATTTTTAGAGCATATTCAGAACAAGACAAAATTTTAATAGGGTAAAATAAGTGACTCATATTTCAGTTGTTGAGCATCATCTTGGATACAATAAAAACAAAGTAACAGAAGCAGCATTTTTTCTCCTGTCTTCTTGCTAAGGGGTGAAAGGCATACCAGAACCATAATATAATTTGAAGAAATTTACAGAAGTTATACATACAAACCTTTTAACTTCCTTTCCATCAAAATAAAAAAATCCACACTCTAAGAACTTCTGGACTTGAGGTTTAAGCACACTGTGTAGTTTTTCTGCCTTCCCACCTTTAACCATTTGATGATAGTCAAAGTTCACCATTTTGATATCAGCTGAATGTTCAGATGCTTTCAAATGGCTCTGACATTGTAAAAAGAGAAGAAAAAATAATAAATATACCAGTATGAGAACATATAGTAGTATAAAACAAATAAGAGCCTACAAATATTTTAAAGCTATCTTGTTTTATTAGCTATCTTGTTTATTACATACTTTCTCTTAGGTAAAATAAAACCATTTTTATCACTGTTGTTCAACACATCACTCAGAACTGATCAGTATGTCACCTGTGTTTTTAATTTTTCTTGTCACAGTCAAAGTCAGGTGTTTTTTTTCCTTACTATACCAGGGGTCACCAAGGCAGTCTACAGTCTCTTCTACTGTTAAAATGCTCCAGTCCCTTTCACAGTCACCATTTTAGACATAGCTGCCAGCAACGAGGCCTGAGTAAATACTCCATAAACTACTACTGGATAAAACAGACAAATTATTTAGGTTGCTGAGGAGGGTGGCTTGAGCAAAACTTTCCCTAACATTCCCCGAAAAATCTTGAAGTGCTCATGCAATCTTTGTTGGCAAAGCTATGACCTGCACTGGGCACTGATACGCATCTGGGAGGGCTAATGTCTCCTACCAGGACAGCTGGATACAGAAAAGCTACTAGTGAACAGCCAAGATATTCAACCATTATAATACAAAGGGTAAAAGAAAAAGGGAAAGGGAAATAACAGATGGCTATTGACATGTTCTCTGGCTTCAGACAGAACTTCTCAAATTGTCAGTATTTATGGACTACAATGTGACAGTTATTTTTAACTTACCCAGTAGGAAATCATGAAAATGGCCACTTATAGTTAACATCATCTGAACGAACATTTCTATTTAATAATGAAGCAGCTTTTACATTTAAATGGATAAATTAAATAGTGGGGGTTTTTTTAAATATTAAGGAATATATCCAGGAATTCCAATGGAAATATTTTTAAAAGAAACATCACAGTATTAAATACCATAAAGTATCATTTATTTATTCACCTATTTCATCGTGAAAAAAATACTATTTTTTAAATAAGCCACTAATAAGCATGAAATATGCAAATAAAAATTCTTCAACATTGTCTATGTTGCTGTTATAATTTTACAGTAAAGTAACCAACATAATCAAACGCTAATTGTATATAAAGCTTTCAAATTTAATTTTGCATTATATATCTTAAGCAGGGCTTTTATGATAAATACAATTTTAACCACAAGTGGTAGTTGCTCCAGAGCATAGCATACTTGTTTCATTTTTGAAGGCTATATAAAAGCCTCATTGCTAACAGGCAAATTCCAAGGACATGCACAGTGAGAGAATTGTCACACTCACCTGAAAAGCTTTGCTGAGCATGTGCTCCCCTTCTTTTGCCCCAAGTAAATTTACAATAATTTGCTTGCCATATAAATTTTTAAGAGTTTGGAAATGCCTGTTAACAGAAGAAAAATTCCATGTTCATCTTCTGGCATGCAGAAAATTAACACAAACACCTGCAACACTGACTGATGCACTGTAGAAATGCACTGGTTACTCTAAACTGCCACAAACCTTTTATTATGTCACATCCAAACAGATCAATATAACTCAGTAATGGCATACAACCATTGACTGCTATTTAATTAGGATAATAGCACCAATTTAACAACATACATATAGTTAAAACCATAAGGCTGTGAAGCTGAAGTGTCATGGCAGGAATAAAATCAAAATATAAATTTTAATGTCATACAGCACCTAACCAATATGGATTATTCAATGTAAACATGCTATAATTTTTGTTTTCAATTCCACAAAGTATTTAATTATTTTAAATTTTCTTCAAACTTCTCAACAAAACACTCGAACGCACAAGCAATCCTGCAGAAGTTTGAAAAAGCTGCCCAGGCAGTTCGCTGCTTTGCTGAATCACACATTCGTATAGACAAAGCCTCTCATTTGGAATAACATATCCCATCCCTCTGATGCATCACTTATCAGAAGTTTGTAGTGCATTAACAAAAATTTAAAACATTGTTTCACCTGTCAAAAGCTGGTGCATTCGCCTCAAAACCTCTTGACATTCTGACACGATGGGATCCCACCTATGATACGAAGATTACATTATTTGTCTTTACACATTTGATTCATCTTTCTTCAAAGACCTCTTTTGACCCTAATTACGGCCTAAAAAAATCATTTCACTTTCTAAATGAAATCTCCAAAATTTATTCTGCTTGCTATGGTGTGCATTCTTTTTACAGGATTTTCTTAAATTCCTCTTCTTTTTTCTAAAAAACACTTTTTTTGATTTAATATACTTAGTTCTATAATCTAATTACTTATGCTGTGTAAATGGCATGTAAATGTTTCAGCAGTTCTACTGCAGAATGCTTATACGTCTAGTTTAATGAACCTAGAGTCACTGTGAGGCATGAACCTTTTTCAACCTTCCCTGTAAAAATTGTATCACAGTAGTAGCTGCTGAAACAATCCCTCTTTCAAGAAAACTGGGATGAAACTGTATTACAGTAACTCTTGATCCCTATTGACTTCTTGAAAAGAGTTATCCTCAAGAACAATTCAGAAGAAAACAGTCTCTTTGGGTGCCCTTACATAACCAATTTTAAAATAAAAATTTAAATTAAACTAGAAAAACTCAGAACTTCAAAAAGAAAACATCTAAAAAGCAATGGACATTCAAATCTTGTGCAAAACAGCATTCAGAGACTCGAGAGTAGCAGGCTTGGTGAATTAAATAATAGCACCAACTTGCCCTCAAAGGATAACCTCATCCTGACAGGTAACTGTGCAGAAAAGCCTAAATGCTACTGTAAGATGTTTAAAAAGACATGAATAAGAATTATCAGTATAATTAAATCTATTTCCCGCTTACCTGCAGGCCTGGCTGTTCCCAAAATAATGGAACAGATCCTCGAATCTGTATGAAAGATGACACAGAGTCATCTAAAAATATCACCTGTTAAGAACAAAAAAAAGCACAGTATTAATAGGTATTACAGAGTGTAAAGTTTCTTAGCCTTAGCTAAACATAGAGTCAATAAATATATTTACATATTACATATTCCATACTACAAGCTACAATATTAATTGTGTTCTAGACCTTTGACTTTATGCCTTCTGAACAATTCATGAAACAAGTTCTGGCACTCTCATGCTTCCTTTGCAGAATCATGATTCACAACGTTTAAGAAAATACAGCAAGCTTTTATTATTTGGGCCTGAATGACTTCTGTCCTAAGAGTAACTTATTTTAAAAAACTTGGTAAGACCTTCCTGTAGAAACAGTTAAAATGTACACCAATGCACAGAAAATAACAATGCAGCCTACTCAGAATACCTGCACAGATTCCGTGCATCGGAATCTAAAATTCAACGGTCTATTAAATATACAGGAAAGGAAACTTTAAGTGGAACATTATGCCACAGTCATCTAGTGACATTAGCCTGCCAGGAAACTGGACAGAGAAACTGTGTTCTGACTGAACTCCTGAAATTGGATGTGTACAAGCAGAGCCCTTCTTGGATAAAATCCTGCTG